ACAGTGAACGGGCATTTCCTCCTTTTTGTCCCCCATTCCGCCTTTGTTAATATTATTAACAATTTCGTAACTTCAGGCCAGGTGTGGGGAGCACATCTGGGATCCCAGCACTCATGAAGCTGAAGCAGGAGGATCATGAGTTTGAGGCCAGCCTGGGTAGCTTAGCGAGACCCTATCTCTAAACAAACAAATGAACAAAAACAAAAACCCAAATCATAACATGAAACCTTATATTTTTATAATTTCGTGCTACATTGATAAACTCAAATGGCACACACATTTTTTAATTTATATTTTTTAGTAGTGCATCAAAATAAGATTTACCCCATCCTCATTTTTATTACATATTTTCTTCATTAATTCCCTGTTGATATTCTTGCCATATTTTATATATTTAATATGCTTTTATATATTTTTAAAATTGGGGAGCAAAGTTTTAAAGTTTTAATGAGTAGAGTGAATATTTGTAAGTGTTACCTACCTCCTGGCTCCATCAAATCCTGTTGGGTCTCTGAAATAGGTCCCCAGCCAACTGGGAGAGAAAAACTCCCCCAAACAGATCTGTTATTCGCACCTAGTGGGTCGTGGTGTTCAACAGGAAGCGAAGCTTCCCCACATAGCTCAATCCACAAAGAGCTGGTTCCATGAAATCCACGAGAGACACGCTGTGCCTGCCAGCATCCCCTGTACCAACACTGCCCTGTCACCTGGCCTTAGACCCCAAATCAGAGACCCCAAGTCTTGCACCCGTTTTAGCAGTATCTCCCTCCCCTACCTGAACTCTCTGTAAAAACACCCTCACCCATGCTCAGGGCCAATGCTCTTGTCACCCTTGGGCCAATCCCAACTGGTTGGCAATAAGTCCTCACACTCTGCTCCAACCTCGCCTGCCTCAGTGGTCTCAGATGCACCTTGCTTTAGCCTAACACTAACATTTGCCCCTTCTTATTTTTAAGACATACGATGACTATATTCTTGTGTACTTCCTCCAAACCTAGTCCAATCTTTCCCTGTTCAGGAGCAACTCAATATGAATTTGATGTTTGTGGATCTTTGTTTGTTTGTGTATGTCTGCAGCCTATGTGTGTAGCTATAAAACATTTCCATGACTTTGTTTCTAAGCTGCTATACTCTACATTTCGAGCTGCAACTCGTGTTTCTACTCAATGCTGTATTTTGACATTTGTCTCTGTTAGTAGAACTGTCACGAATGGTCCTTCTAAATGAATTTCTCACAGTTTGCTGGGCTGGTGGATACTGGTGTCATTTATTCACCTTTTTGGTTTTGCTGTTATTTTTTTATGTTGTGTGTTACAGGGATGTTCACGCTCCGCAAACAAGAGCTTCTAGCATTTATGCCCAGAAATAAAATTCTTGGATTGTAAGCTATCCATTCCTTTAATGTTACTGAATATTGACAATTTATTCTCCAAAATGGTTATTTTAATTTCACCAAAATGTGAGTGTTCCTTCCATTTTTCCACATAATTGTCACCACTTGACGATATCAGGTTGTTTCATTTTCACCAGTTTGATAGATATTAAAGGGAACCTCACTGTTTTAATTCTCAGCTATCTGATTACTGGACATCTTTTTGTGTGTGCCATTGGTCGTTAAGATTTCCTGTGTTGTAAATTACTTATTTATATCTTTTGCACATATTTCACTGGTGTTTTTATTACTGCTTTTTAATATTCTTGGCGACTATTAGCATTATTAATATTTTCTCCTGGTTTGCATTTTGTCTCTTTGCATTCCCTGGGCTATCTTTTGTTCACATTTTCACATAGATTTATAGCCTTCTCTTTCAGTGGTATCCTTAGTGTCTACTTCTTGAATTTTCTTTGAACTCTTTCACACAAACAGAAGTGATTCTTTATGAAGAGGTGTTCTATGAGTGATTATCATGTTTAGCATTGGTAGACTTCACCTCCCGAGATACCATGAACTTTTTAATCTATAGATGCCTTCTATGAGCTCAGGAGAAATGGCTTTTCTGCCTGTACTGTCAATCCAATCCAAGTGGCTAAACAGATGCTAAAACAAGCCATTCCTGCCCTCCACGCCCTCAGTAGACACTGTTTTATGCAATACACATCCATATATTCATATTCAGCAAATACTTTGGGACACCCTGGTACATGCCCGAACCTGGCTCTCACCTTTCAAGTCAGCTCTGTTGGAACTGGCAAGTGTGCACATCGCCTCCCCCTGCCCCAGACTGTGCAAGCATGTGTAACACACCTTTGTGGCATTTTCCACAGTGTGCAGTAGGGCGTCCACATCTGTTAGAATGAGCCGGCTATCAGTGATGCCTTCCATGACGGGGAACTGATGGCGTGGAAAAATCTGTTCCTCCGTGTGTACAGATACTGCTCAGGAAAGTTGCTCAGGTCATTGAATTTCTTTAAGCAGATGAGATATTTCTTTAAGAAGGTTCCTGCTTTGCCCCTCTTCCTTACGGTTTTCAAGTTTTGTATATCTTGTCTTGAAAACTACATTTGGTGCTGTCTGTTCTGCCAAAACACTTCAGGGTGATTATCATCAACCATGCACTGCAGTGATTTATATCTTTAAATCCTTTATATCAGGTCATCAGTCATTCTAAAATTTGGTGCATTTATACCTTTTATTTATTATACTTCTAAAGGTTTTAATAATCTTTTCAGAGAATGAACACTTAAATGTATTTATTATTTCCACAGATACTTTTTTAGTTTTTATTTCTGTCCTTTTTATTTGTTCCTTTATTTTCATCCTGACTCTTCTGAAAATTTTAAGTCAGTTTTAAAAATAAAAACTCGTGGGTCCCCATCTTCAGCCCTGAGCCCTGCCGTGGCTGCAAATGCCCTTCGCTTTGGGGGGGCAATGTTGGCAGTAGGCTTTGCACCCTTCCCTTGCCTTTTTGCTGAGATTTTTGTTGTTGTTGTTGTTAGAAGTTTCTCCCCATTTGATATTTTTGTGGTTGTAAACTTTTATTTTTAAATAAGGTTAAATTTACAGAAATGTTACAAGAAGAGTGTGATGAACTCTTATGCATTCTTTACCCAGATTCACCTTCTGTTCGTACTTTTTCTGGTTACTCAATCATCTTCCCTCTTCCTAGGCCTGTAGAATTTCTTTCCGTACCTCTTGAGAATAAGTTCATAGAAACGTACAAACCTGGTACTTCACCGTCTCTCTCCCAAGGCACACATTTTCTCATAAACATCAAGAAATGTAACAACTCAAGTTAGGAAATTTCATATATGGACACTTTATCTATCTATCCATCTATCTATCATCTGTCTGTCTGTCTATATCTGTCTATCATCTATGACTATCACCTAGAGAGTGATACAGAGGGAGAGAGATTGATGCTGAGACACTGACGGGAGATTACAGAGCAGCAATGTAAGGGTTTGTCTACACCGCCATTGTCTACACTACATGGATCCATCAGTATTGAATCTCTTCCTGTACCCTGTTCTGAAAAAGTCCATTTATTGGATCCATAGTTACTCTTTCTTTCCTGTGCACTTACTGTGTGTTCACAGTGGAAACATTTCAGTAAGGAAACAAGATGACCAAAATTACCATTGACCTCAGAGCATGGAGAGAGATACTGTTAGCCCTGAGATATCTGTTTTCTAGCTTTTGCTTTCAATCACCAAAAATTCTTGGCTACTTGTGAGTATATTAAAAAATGGAATCATACTGCATGCTTGCAGTTTTGACTCTTTCTAGGCTTTGTTTAGTTTATGTGCTTTGGACATAATCTTTGTGCCAATTTTGCAGAGTGGTGACACCTTTCTAGATGCAGAATCCAAGTTCAGAGAGATTCATGAACTCACTCAGGTCACAGTCTAAACCCTGGGCTGTCTGCTCCAAGGCTGTAGAGTAGGTCACGATTTTGCCCAACATTCCTTTCATTGTTTTTACTTATATGATTACCATTTATTTTATTTCCTGTTGTGAGAATATGTATTTTTTCCCCTTGGTTCAGTTTTGGGGCCTTGTTTAGATGACATGTTTTCAATGTCATCTAAGATACTGACTATTGAAATTCGTCTTTAATTTTTAAGACTAAGTTCTTAGCCATAAATATGGACCCCATTGTGATGGTTTCCTTTTTATTTATTCTATTTATTTTATTTTATTTATTTATTCTGTTTCTCTTTTATTTCTAACTTCGGTCATTTATGCCTTTCACAGTTGATTTTACGTTTTCATGATTATTGGGAGCTTCTTTGTACCACCTGCTCCATCATTTTGGCTTTAAAAAACCTTTTATATAACACTAACTTTATCAGCTGTTACTTTTTTGTTATATGCACTTTCTCAATAAATATCTTTTATTTAGTGCTTCTGCATCTTTTTCTTACAGATACCTTTTAAAAATGATGATGATGCTACTTTGGGAACTGACCCCAGGACTTTTGTGGTGAGCTCCACCCCCTGCCCTTTTTAATTTTTTGATTCAAGACAGGATCTCACTAAGTTGAACCTGGGATCCTCCTGCTTCAGCTTTCCAGATTTCTGGGACTACAGAAGGGCACCCCCTTGCCCAATTGGGTCTCAGATTTTAATCCAGTATGAGAGTTTGTCTTTTGGAAGGTGAAATGTCCTATATACCCAGAGTTCTTGGGGGTCAGGTGTGTCTGGACCGAGGTCTCCCTTAACCACTGGCTGTGTACTTTCTATAAGTCACTTCACTACCTTGGGAAGGGGTTGCCAGTTTTTTCATCTGTAAGATCATGTTAATGAGCACACCAGCCTCACAGAGTTTTTGTGAAGGGTAAAGGAAATCAAGAACACTCAGAAATGGAAGCAAATTAAAGTAATTATTTATGAACTATAGCTGTCATTACCTGCTATTATAGACCTCATGTCTGGAATATTCAAAGCAGGTATCATAGTAATAACACATAAAGCAAATATCTGTGCTCCAAATAGAGGTCACCAGCTCTATGCAAAATTACACCTCAGACTTCTCTTTGAGACAAGGAGCATAACTTACACGAAGGCTTGCAGGAAGTAGTCTCGGGTTTCGGGGCGGTGGGTCCCTGTCGCCTCTGGCTGCCAACACAGCTTCCTCGCTTGGCCTGGAGCAGGGGTTTCAGGAATCCTGGCTGTGAACCTGTGTGCAGCTGCACTGACATGAAGTTTGCACTTGCACGGGCCGCACCACAGGCGGATAAAGCAGAAACCCGGTAAAACACACCCACCCAGCTGTCCACTTCCTGGATTGCACAACTCGCGGGTTGGTGGAAGGGGACCAGCAAGGAGGACTTGAGTCCGTGCAGGCCGCAAGGCCCCGCTGTCCCTGTCCGGTGTCTGTCCTGGCTCTTCGGGCTCAGGGCGTGCAGGAAGACTGTGGAAGTCGGAGGTTTCAGCTCCATCCTGTTTTTAGCTTTTCAAAACCTCCTTGGTGTTTTGGACTCTGGGTAACCTTCAATCACACAGTGCAGGGAGACCAAGCCAAGGAGTGACCAGTCCATAATACTACGATCGGGTGACTCCAGGGTGGCCCAGTTTATTCTTAGCTGTGGCTGCATCGCATCTCCCACAGTATCTGCTCCTTCACCAGCGGGAGAGCCGGGCTCAGCTCCCGCCCGCCCCAGAGCAGCCATCTCCTTGGACTTTGTGGAGAACTATCACTCCCTGGCCTCTTGCTCAACAGAGTATCTTCAGGTCTCTTCCCAGAGGTTCTGGCCCTGTGGGTCTGGGTCTAGGTCTGGGATGGGGCCTCAGATCTATGTTCTGGATCTTTTGCTTCCCGGCTGTGTGACTTTTTGCAAATTATTTAATTTTCTTCAGCCACATCTGAACATAAGTGAAGATAACAACATCTTTCTCAAGATGCTGAAAGAATCAAGTAACGAAATCTCTGCATGGCATCTACTCGGCTTTGATTCATGAAGTCGCCTCTACCTGGGTTAATGTGCAGATGACTTGTGAAATTATTTAACTCAGGCCTAGTGCTTCTAACCTATTTTTGAATTTATTTGGCATATTTTTCATGATGTTTTTAACCATTTGCAGGAGACTGGGGCTTCCAGAACCCACGAATCCCCTCCTAATGGTGTGGGGAGTCTGTGTGTCGCTCCACTCCCAGGCTTTGGAAAGGACACCCAGGTTACTCCCTGGGCAGGAGTGTCACATGCTTTCCCTCCCTCCCTCCCTTCCCCTCTCTCCTTCTGGGATTCAGGATGGAACCCAGAGCCTCCCTCACGCTGTACAAGTGCCCTACCACTCAGCCACTTCCCAGCCTCCAGTTATCTGGACACAGCTCATGTGTGTATATTTTTCTTCAATAAAAAATAGGATGATAAAATTACTCTATTGGATTTTATGTAGACTACATCCTAGGAAACTTGCGTGATGTGAATTTCCCTTCCTGGACCTCAAAGCCTTTGTGCTTTTCTCTCTCTCTCCCATCTTAACAGTCAAAATTCAGTGGATTTCTGACGAGTGTATTTATATTTAGTTTTGCCTTAAAAGGACTTAGGGCACTTTTAAAAGATACGAGAATGAGAGATGCTTTAAAAAGAAAATGGAGATGGGACAGTTAGGAAGGAGAGGAAGGGCATGTGTATACCTTCCCGTCCTGGGCCAGCCAGTGGCTCTGTACTCCTGGGCCTCCCAATACGCCCTCTGCAGGGCAGAGGCGTGGCTCCACCTTTGAAGTGGTCACTACGGAGATCAAGCATGTTTTAAATCTTCCCCCAGCTCAAGACTTGGGGTCCTCATCCACCTCGGGGTCATGCGGAATCTGTGGAAGACTCAGGGGTGCCATAGATGTGCACAGAGGTACTCTCCAATCCTGCACAGTGAGTGGGTCAGGGAATCAGGGGCCCTTGTTGCAGTTGGAGGGGCGCTGGCCTGAGGTGCAGTCACCCTGGCTGTAGAGCAACGCTGCTCTTGCAGTTCCAACGGGCACCGAGGATAGCCTGTCTCACATCCGAAGAGGCCTCTTCTATGGATGCTTTAAGCATAGGCACGGGGAGCAGAGGAAACACCCCCTGCATGTTCACTTCACTGACCCAGTTCGGGTAGGGTGTCACTGTCCAGACTGGCTGGGTGCAGATGCGTCTCAGCCCAGGAGACCCGGAGCCAGTGTGCGGTACTGGAGCCACACAGGATTCTCACTCACCAGGACGGGCCCCGGGGAGGCTGGCAGCTTTGAAGCCAGCACTGTTATTCACCTCGTTCACTTAACAGACTTGCAGGCCCCATGTGCAGAAACAGGGCCCCATCCGCTGGCAAGTGGGGCTTTGGATCCCACAGTGGCCGCCTGGTCACAGATGTGATTGCTGGACCCTATGAATGAAGGATATGTTGGGAGCCAGGAAGCAAGTCTCCCAGGGAGGCAGAGATGACAGGGGATGGCTCGAGAGCTTTCGAAGGTGGGCACAAGTGCCCCCAAAAGAGTGAACCCTGAAGGGCTCTGGGTTGACCCTGGTGGGTAATTTGCAGTCTGTTAGGGATTTCTGCATTCTTTGTGCAAACATGGATGAACTCCTCACAGATGTCTGAACTGGGACTCTGCTGCACCCTCTGGTCCTTCCTTTTGGCTGAAATTGAAACAAACACACAAAAACCATGGAGAAATGAACTGCGTTAGCTTTAATTGAGTGTCTTCCTGGCCTGGCACAATTCCAGGAAGGACGACTCTAAACTGAACTCTAGGGCTAAATCCCAGATTTTTAAAAAACGGCAGAACTTTGGTGATGGTGTTTATGGCAAAATTCAGCTTCTTTTTGAATAAAATCATATGAACACTTTTCTGCTTGTGGCAAAAGGAGAATTCAGTGAGATTTGAAGTCCAGGAAGGGTTTAGAGCACCCTGGCTGGCTAAGAACCCTCGGCAGGTTATTCAGGCAACAATAGAAAAAGAAATGTACAACGCACAGATGGGTTCCAGGGTCTGTGTTGCAGCTCAGGTGAGGTTTGTTTTCAGCTCTAGCCTTCATCAGGACTCAGACAGTTACCTGTGCAGAGGGAGCTACTGTGGACCGTGCAATATCCACTTTACACTTTTCCCCTTATGCATCGCAACTCCCAGCTCTGATGATGGTCACTAACGTGAGATTCTCGCCTTCTCAGACACTTTCGCTGCTGGAGGAGTCATGTGACCCAGGCCTGACCTTGGCAATGCCCTTTAAGGACAGGATGCTAGCTAGAAAGGTAGCAGCCACTTTCTAGCTATGCGCGGACAAGCCTCAGGATTGTACAGTAGAAAAAAAGAAAGGAAGGAAGGAAGAAAGAAAATGATAAGCAAGCTATTTGTTCTTGTAGGGTAACTTTAAGTTAAGATGCCAACTCTGGAATTAGCCACTTTTACATCTCATATCACCTGTGATAATTAAATGCATTCACTGCTTAAATCTATGGTAACTGGGTTTCTGTTGCTTTACTCAGAGTATACCTTGGCTGGTACATTATCTTTCTGCCAAAAAGCGTAGTAGGTAAAATGCAGAGATGTCTGAGATACAGTGTGCATTAAGATTGAGGGTTAGGCCTTTGGTACAGGCAAGAAAAGGGCTGTGAATGTCCAGGGTTATGAAGACAAGTAGCCCTTGAGCAACTTCTAGAATTACTACCTACAAGTGGGATGGATACAGCCCAGCAGATTTCTTTCTCCTAGTGCCTTCTACGATCTGAGATCCACTTCCAGTGTAAGTGTAAGTGGTCTTGAGTGGAGGCCAGGTGTAGGACCTCAGACCTTCCATCTGACCTTGGTAGGCATCAGTTTACCTTATCTGCAAAGTGGGAGAACCACACTTTCTGTCACTTAGTTTTATGAAAATCCGAACTTGCTTTGGGAATTTCAGTGGGCAGTGGCGGTGTCATGGGTGGCATGGTGTCCCCCACACAGCAGGTGTGGACGTGAATAGGTTTCTGTGCTGTGCGGTTGCCTGCACTGCACTGCGACCTTGAGTTTGAGAGCTGCCAGACTGTCGCCTGCTCCAGATGACACCGCACAGGTTTATGAAGCACTTCCTTCTCAGCGGTGATGGATTAGGTCCAGCAGCCTGGCTGAAAATCCTAGCTTTTGTTTTCTGTGTATTTTCCACTAAATATGCTGAGACAAGGTGTCTGTTTTGATCAGGATGCTGTCAGTTATTCCATTCTAATCCAGACCTTCTCTGTGATGCAAGGTTTGAAGGCATCTGCGGGCTGCAGTCCTGCACGGCTCTGCGAGGCGCCTTGGCAACACTCAGCAGGGCTGTGTCCAAGGCAGGCTCCCCCACCGTGAGCCCCTGGCCACTGGATGAATCCCCTGCCAGTGACAGATGGTCCCTTTGAGACATTGCAGAGCAAAGTGAGACAGTCATGCTTGGGCCTTTACAAGCGTTTCTCTGAGAGACAAACCAAGAACGGACCTACTTCCTCTGGTCTTGTTCCTCGTGGCCTCACACTTATCCAGGTCCTCCTTCCTGGCACCGTGCTAGGATCTTGCTGATTCTCTACCTCTCCCGGTCGGGCTCCTCAAGCTGCTGCTCGGCGAGGACTTTCCAATCCTGCGCTCTGCCTGTTCTTGGTCTGCTGTGTGCCGTGCTATGCTGCATGTGAGACACACAGGAAAGTGGGGCTGACACCTTGGTGTGTAGGAAAGGCCGTGTCAAGCTCCTTCCCCAAGGGGATCATTCTGGAGACAGATCAGCCTCCCGGGAGCTCGGAGTCACCAGACCGTGGGTCTGGAGATGCTGCAGTGCTCTGCAATTGGATGAGAAGCAAACAAATTAAGACAGCATTTAAGCACCGAGATGCAGAAGGAACATGCTGGATGGAATAGGATGCAGTGCGTAGGTCTAGGCAGAGAGCACAGCCACGGCAAGCACAGGAAGGACTATTGTGATACAGAGGAGGCGGAGATGGCCAGAAGAATGGTGGGCATTCGAGACTGTCCCCCACTTCTGCTATTGGGGTCTTTAGGGTTGTGCCTTGGACTCCCCCAAGCAGGGCGCCTCTGCCTGAGAGCTCAAGGAGCACTGTGCTTTGTGGTTGACCTGAAGAGCCACACAGCTGTGGAGGAGTCAGTAAAAACAGTGAATGTTGAATTTCCCTGGGATTTCCAGTGTATTTTTTTTATATTTGATAAGCAAGTGGTATGACTCTGCATAAATTATGGAGAAGAGTTTCCTGGCCTGTGCATTTTCACCCCAGAACCAACTCCCTATACCCCTGTGTGGCACAAGGAGACTGAAGGGCCTGAGTGGGAGGAAGTGGGGCAGCTTGGGGATAGGGTGTGCTTCAGACAGTGGCTGGCCTGGGACGGGGCAGCCCCACCCACGCCTTAGAAGCCCTTGGCTTCTAAGTCCCTCGCTGAAGGCACTAGTGGAGATGGTCTAGTTTGTACCCTCCGGCCTGTTGGAAAGAGAAAAATAGTCAGAGA